GAGCAGCAGCCATGACAGAGCCCTCGCTGCCGGCAGAGCTTGGTCGGGGCAGAGCCCTGGGGCAGCCCCACGGTGCCGGGGGCCGCCAGCCTGCGGGGAGGTGGGTTCGGACTTGTCACACACAGGACCTTGATTTGGCCTCTGAAAATCAAATTTCAGCGCTTCCTCAGTGCCAGCCACGCCGCACCACGCGGCGCCCGCGAAGGGCGATTTTTCCGACTCAGCTCCAGGCTGTGGCTGCTTGCTCCGCTGGCCGGCGAGCACAGCGCCGAGCGGGGGCTTGCTCAGCATTGGGTGGGGGGTGCAGGGGCTGGGGTCCTGCTGGGGCCCTCCCTCGGCTGCCGGTGGGGCAGGGGCTGTGCCCCCCCCTCTGCCCTGCAGCTCCTGGGCTCTGCCACAGCCCAGGCTTTTATTTCAAGCAGAGGGAGGGGGTTATTTCTTTAATTTTGCCTGAAGAGTCACTGTTCTTAACTGAAAGTATTTGTTCCTGAGTTGCCTAATTGCCTTCTCTTTCGTTTCAGCATTGGCTGGAGTTTACCAAGTCGGTGGTGAAGCAGATGAGGGGTGAGTGTGGCTGCGAGCGCTGTCCCGGGCAGGCGGTGCGCGCGCCCTTCCTTCAGATGCATTTCCATTTTCTGCCCCTCTGGGGTTAATTCCCAGCACATCTCCTGGAAAAGAAAAGGGCCTTTCTGATTATCTGGGCGGCCCCGATACCTGCCCAGCTCCTTGAGCGGGCTCGTTCAGGGGGGACGGAGGGGACAAACCCTGTCGCGTGGTGACTGCGGCGTCGCTCTTCTCCCTGCAGCCCAGCCCCCCTTCACCATGTGCTTCCGCGTGAAGTTTTACCCCACGGACCCCGCTGCTCTGAAGGAGGAGATCACCAGGTAAGAGCCCGGCATGCAGGGACCGGCTGGCAGCGAGGGCTTGGCCAAGGGGGGAGCAGTGGCTGTTTGGGATTTCCAGAGACCTGAAGGCATCTGGGCCGTCGCGGCTGCGGGGAGACCTGTGCCCTGTGGGCGCGTGGAGCCGGGGGGGAGCCCTGGCTGGGGGGTGAAGGCCGGGGACTTGGTCTGCGGCC